CAGCAACATTAAATTTAAAAACTGTACTTTTGAGTTAAAATATATATTTATAATTTTAATAAATGACAAATTAAAAAAGCATGAACATTTTTTTGTATAGAAAAAATATCGAACAGTGAATTTTGTGTATCGTTGCACCCCCAGTGTTTATATAACATTTAACAGGGTTTAGTAAAGAACTGATATTAAATTGCGTCTTTATGCACTTTATTACTAGAAGCCTGCTGAAAGAACAAATATTTTTCACCCATTTCTTTAGTTGAATCTAAAAAAAATGGTAAAGATAACAGAAAAAAGTGTTTTTGAACCAACAAGGTGATTCCTGAAGAGCTTTGCTTGTCATATTTTGTCAGGACAAAAGAAGTGGCATGTCTAAGAAAAAAACGATCTACAGCAGATAAAGAGTATCTGAAAGCAGTGTCTTTAAGAAACAGGAAAAAATATCCTCCTTCAGTTTATCCATTTACTGTTTGCAAAGCCTCAGCAGAAATGGTCTCAGTGTAAAGCTGGATCTCCAGAAGAGAGGATAAAAGGATGAGATTAGCCAAATTATACAAGAACTCGGCTGAAAACAGGTCTTACATATCAAGTTATCAACAACCTGCATGGAGGAGGCCGGAAAGTGTTTGTAAAAATGCAGCTGTTACGGTCAGGAGCTGCATTTTAGCAGAGATGTTGGCATTCTTGTTAAAAATGATGGAATCATTGTGATCCAGCAGGTAATAACACCTGGAAGGCATCTCATTTGGAACAGCCTCGTTATTCAGCATGTCATTCATCCCAAACACACGACCAATAGAAACAAACCGGGATGAAAAAACAATGAAACACTTTGAGGCACGGATTAGCCAGAGCCCGGACGTCAACATTACTGAATCAGTGTGGGATCATCTCGGCAGAAAGTGGAATAAACTGCAGCCAACATCCAGAATCGATCCTTAGAGAAGCTGCAGAATTATTCCTGAAGACCCGTTGATCTAATTATAAGAAAAGTCCAGGCTGTGCTGAAGGATCAGAGTGCTCGTACCAGATATTGACGGTCAAGCTGGTACTGTCACTGTCATGTCCATACATGTTTCATTACTGCACCTGTTTCCCATGTTTCCAGCAAAATCTAAACAATGATGGCGGCTCAAGATTTGTGCACAGTGCTGTAGAAGAACTCATGTTTATATTAATGGTCACAGTGTTGCATGAGGATGCAGCGGCCTTTATGTCAAATGAAGCTTCTTATAATCACGCCTCTGTCAGAGCGCCCCAGGGCAGCGTGGCTGCCGTGTAGCTGCCGTCACCAGTGTGTGGATGTGTGGATGTAGTGTGCAGCGCTTTGGGGTCCGTAGGGACGAAGCAAAGACAAATACAGGCCATTTATAATCATCAGGGTCATATTTGATCTGTTTGAAGAGCGGTTTGCTTCACTGTTTGGGATTCTGATGCTCTATAGCAGCGCGCCCCAACCCCCGGGCCGTGGACCGCTGCTGGTCCCCAACCCCCGGGCCGTGGACCAGTCCGTGAGTCGTTTGGTACCGGGCCACGAGAGTTGAGGCTCAGATGTGAAATTCATGGTTTTCAGGGGTTTTTATCGTTAACTCGGTTTCCCTGGGTCGTTTCCCGTGTTGTAGTTGCGTCTTATTTTAAAAGAACTATTTATGCGTTACCATAGCGACCAGAGAGCATTAAGGGGCAGAGAGGAGGATGTTACTCTGTGTTGTTGGCGTATTTCAGGAGGACGCTGCTAATAAAGTCACACAGTTACACAGTGAATTCACGTTTATTGTTACAAACACCACAGTTTTTGTCTGTATCGTTTATTTTGTTGTGTTTATCC